CTTTGACTAAGAGGTCTTAAGACAGAAATGGCAGACTCAAACCCAAATTTAATCACAGTTATGAGCATGGAAGAACAAATGCGGAGTGTGTGTGGGTCTCACTTAAGCTAGGTTTAAATAAACAAGTTACAAATTGCGACAGTAAAGGGGTAATGTGAGGATATGGGACAAGTGAATGCACCAGTACGGGATTGGTCACGACGTTAGCAGACAATTGGTCAAGTGATCAGCCTCACCTGTACCTGACGGGTCGTAGTGTCTATCTAAGACTGGCAAGATCTGCTGACGATTCTTGCGAGATGTCTCGTCTTCCAAGTCAAAGGTCTGTCGCTGGAAATTATCACGAACGATATTATGGTTTCCGGACAAGTTGCATTCATCTAGGTCTTCCTGACAGTTGCGAAAACTAGGTCAAGCAACTTCCAAACCTAGAAATAGGTGAACTATGGCGCCATTCTGAACTATGAAATACTAAACTCCCATTTTTTCCGAGGTTTGCTTTCGGTGGTACTACTGGGGACTGGATATCTCACCTAGGACGCTTTACAGGTATAGCTGAGTGTCCAAATCGAAATACATGGATGGTCAGGAACCTGAAGTGATTGTATTACTAATTACTTAGGCAAAGGCCCAACAACTACATAACTTTACATTAGACTGCTCTTTAATTTGTGAAAGTATAGAGGGACAGGCAGCTACGAAGGCTGAAATTGGAGCATAAGAACAAAGGTAGACACGCATGTATTAAATATTAAATTCATACTAGATATACCTCTTAAGCAGAGATAGAAGGGGGTAATTTCTGTAAAATAGCCCTAGCTGGCCTATTGCCATAACCGCCAGCAGCGATCCTGCAGTAATGTATTAGTCGCTATGAGGCCAATGCACTCTAAGCAAAGGCTCGGCACATGTGAATAGTTTATATTTATTTTCGGAGTTAAACGTTCACGAGGCATTCTGTCAATTTTTGAACAATCTCAATTTTCACGCATAGTCCGAAAATACTCAAATTAACTCAGCATTTCTTTATAGTCACAATAACTAAGTCACCCAAGCCAGAAAATTTTCCTTACCTTAATATTTTTCTCTCGAGAACAGCCTGCTCTCAAAAAATATCATTCGATTCTATCGGCGGCCAGAATCGCTCAACTTAAGGTTGGAGAAACAATATTATATACAATTAAGATGTTTTACTGTCAAAAACTTACATGAAGTGAAACTGGGTTTTTTATTTGTATCTCGATAGATCATTGCTGAGCTGAAATTAGTCTCGAAAAGCTTTAAAAGGCAGAGTATTATGAGCTTTTGGGCTTATTAAACGCTTTGAATCGCTTTACTTCGCGCGCAGCTTTGTTTCGGTAAAGAAGGGCTAAACTTTCATTTTTAATGACAGACATCACCAGAGCTACACGTTATCGTCCCTCATATTTTCAATATAAGTAGGTTAAAAGACTATCATTAGTTGTTAAATAAAAATTTAGTTGCCATAATTTACTTTAAATGATTGTGAGAACTGATAATTGTATTTTTCCAATAATGAGCTTAGCTCCCAAAGCAAATAATTAACTGTTTTCCTGACAGAGAGTACAAAAAATTTCACTACGTCTATTGTTGCAACAATGTTTAAAATAATAATTAAAACAATATTATTGAAGACAAAAGCTTTCAACGCATTACATATACACTCATTGTAGTTTGTCTTTCTCAATAGTGCGTTGCCTCTCAGAAGCCGGGTGATACTTTCCGTGATGAATCCCTTGCTTCATTTGCGTATGGACAACTCAAAATCCCTAATTAATTTACTTAAAACAGTGAATTTTAAAGAGGTTAGTTATATTATTTGTGGCTATTAAAAGATGGCAACTATTTTTGCAACTAAAAACGGACTGAAGATTTCAGTTGAAGATACAAAATGTGTTCAGGGCAATGCATTTTTGCACTCGCAACTTTTCAGTGAATTTAGCGTCTCTCGTGCTGTTGTCGCATTCAAAATAAACTACAGTGTCTTTTTGGATTGTTTTTCAGTCTTTGGTACCTCTAATCAAACGGCATCGACTTCCCTTTTGCTAACATATAAGACAGATGGCTCTACACTTGATCTTTTGTAACCATTTTGTAAAGTAAATATTTAAAAAGACTTGAAGAGAATGGCGTAATTGCTGAGTGTTCGATTCATACTGTCGAAGCGATTGAGATTCTGGATTTTGATTTTTCCAATAGCAATATTACCACAAAGATTATAATCAAGGTAAGCTATACCCTTATCTTTGGCTCTCCATATACAATACATTTGGCAATTTTTTACCGCTTGATACTTTCTGATTATTTATAAATTAAGTTATGTAGTCCAATCACGTAGTTTTCAAATACTAACTCCCTAAATATGTATAGAATGACATCCTTGTACATAAATGACCTGAATTTCGTGTTACATTTCCAGAATCTGAGCGAAATTTAAATATCTCCAATTTGGGCCCTCGGAAATCTGTAACGACTTATTTCCGAGTACAATAATACTGAATAGAATTGATATACTCATTTTACTCCCTTTTATGACACAAAACTACCGTAGACATCATGACAATTGAACGAAGCATGTCTAATTGAATTATGGATTTAATCTTTTAGGAAATTTGATTTCCTAACAATAATTTTTCTCGCCTTTAGCTTCGCTTTGGTTTCATAAAAATGCCTAGACAAGTTAGGCCATTTATGTCTAGAGTTATGTGCGCTATAAATTATATAATATGGTTCAATATAACTGATTAAAATGAACTTTTTAATTCAAAAAGCATCTCTTAGTTCATATCTAAGACCAATTAAATCTCTATATGCAATTCGCATACTCTTTCTTAACTGCTAATGGAAGTTAATCTCAGAGTATGCGTTTTAGGCATAGCCGATATATGTATCTTCCAAAACTATCAAAAATTCTCAAATGGGAATCAAGTCACCCTAGGTACGCTAAAGTGATTTAAGGACTAATAGTAAAGTTTATGCTACTATGAATGAAATAGGCTTCCAAATGACGGATGATTCTCCACTGTATACATTTGACTTTAATACGACGTTCAGGCTGACGCAATTAACAATACGTCTTCATGTACTTTCATAGGCCTCCAAATGCCGATGACTTTCACTTGACCTTATTTCCATGCAGATTCAAATATTCAGAGTGGACTGCAGTTTTCACCTTTCCTACATCTAATCAGTGCCCTCAATGGGTTTCGAAACAGCG